GAGGAGTAGTGACAGGAGCAGTACCCCAGCAGGAGAGAGGAGTGGTGACAGGAGCAGTACCCCAGCAGGACAGGAGTAGTGACAGGAGCAGTACCCCAGCAGGACAGGAGTAGTGACAAGAGCAGTATCCCAGCAGGGCAGAGGAGTAGAGAGAGGAGCAGTACCCCAGCAGCAGTGAGGAGTCGTGAGAGGAGCAGTGACAGGAGCTCTCGTACGTGACGGCAGTGTTATCAGGAGAATAGCTCCTTGCCAGAGGCCTAGTTTCCCGTTGCCGCTGGAAACGTGCGGGCAGTGATGTCCCTGTCCTCACTCGAGTCCCTGTCGCATTGTTCCTTTGTTCCGCCCTCCACGCCCCCTTGCTATTTTTAGCTGGCCTGCCTGAACACGCTGCCTGGCTGGGCTCCCGCTGGCCCCAGGTTTCGGGTCAGAGTGCAGGGTCAGCCATTTATACAGCACCCCTGGAGCACCTGGGGTTAAGGGCCTTGCGCAGGGGCCCCATGGAGTAGGATTCCTCTGCCGGCCGCGGGACTTGAACCGGCAGCCTTCCAGCCACAGGCGCAGATCCTGGGCCACAGAGCCACCACTCTGCCTAAAGAGCCTCCTGTCCTGACTGGAGGACCTCAACTAGGTGCACAACATGCCTGGGCAGATTGTTCCACACTCCCACCGCTCTTTGTGTAAAGTACTCTTGAACTGGGTTTCCAGTTTTAAGCAGGAGGCATGGTGGTTAAGGAGGTAGCGGTACTGCCTTTGCAAATCCCCGGGTAATTCAGTTTCTCAGCCTTCTAAAACCACCCTGTCTGGCTTAACTGATGTTTCCAAGCTATGTCTGTTATGGGGGGTGGGTGGGGACGGGAGTACCCCACATTCCAGAGACAGGTCAAGAAATAAGAGGCTTTCAGATGTTTCCTTGGCTGGATCAATGAGTGAAAAAAACCAATACAAAAGACCAGCCCCCTCCGATTCCCACCCTTCAATTCTGTTCAAACTCTGACGTATCGCTCTCCCTTTTGGATGGCTCTGGTGACCCCTGGAACGAGTTCACCCAGCACGTGGACAGAAGGAAACGTCCGATTCCGCTAGCCCGTCCGTTTCTGACTCGAGGGGGAACGTGCCGAGTCACGACAGCTTCACGTCATCGAGTGAAATTGTCCCCTTTACGTCAGCGGCTCGGCCTGTTAATTACTGGCCCCAGCGCAGATAATTATAGCCTCTTCCCCCCTTCCCCTGGCTGTGTTTGTTTCTGCACTGCCTGGACCCGATCGCTCACCAGCCGCACCGGTGAGGCTTTCTCTCGGGAGCGAGACGGGTCCGAGTTCTTCAACTAAAAGATCCCGGCGCTTTATTTTTTGGGGGGCACGATAATTCTTGGCCCCGGGCGATTTGGACTCTCGCTTTCACTCGCGTTTCCCTCTGGCTTCCGAAACTTCAAAACTGGTGTCCCGGGAAACACCCGATCCTGCGTTCCGAGTGGAGGAGTCTCCCGCAGTCCCTGTCTGGGGGAGCTGATGTTTTAGACAGATAGATACTTTATTGATCCCGTGAGGGAAATTGCAGTGCAACAGCAGCTTAACACACACAACACAGCACAGTGTAACGAATTATATAATAATATAATAATAATAGTACAATACATACAATACAATACAAGAGTTACTCACAGTCCGGACACAAGGGGGTTTTTAGACAAGGGGGGAGAGTCGGGTTACTCTCAGACCTCCCGTATCACCTGTGTGTGTTTCTATAAATAGGGGATCTCCGGCCCTGGTCCTGGCAAATCCCGGTCCAACAGGTTTTTCAGGTCACCAAGTTCTAAAGCCCTTCCGTTTGCATTAACAAGGCAGGTGATGTGGTAGATGAAGCAGTTTAGAGGTTGTTTGTAGCGGTAGGAATGTCCTCCAGCTCTTAAGGGGTCCCCATGTTTAAAGCTCTTGGTAAATGGGTTCATACTTTCCCAGGCTTCAGAACTGATGGACCTTAGGGGGACCCGTAAATTGGGGTGAGTCTGGGGTGTTTCACCGCAGAGCAAAATGCTAACCCTAACCCTACCTGGGGTGTCAACTGAGCATTTCCGCGATTTATACCTGAGCATCTCTGGCCATCGGAGTTTGACATGTTCCCCAAATCAAAAAGTATGAGTGGGAAACAATCAAGACCATTGATCAAAGCTCAGTCCTGGTCCTGGAGGGGTCAGTGTGTCTTCAGCAGGACAGTCCAGTCCCAGTCCTGGAGGGGTCAGTATGTCTGCAGCAGGGCTGTCCAGTCCCGGTCCTGGAGGGGTCAGTCAGTGTGTCTGCAGCAGGGCTGTCCAGTCCCGGTCCTGGAGGGGTCAGTCAGTGTGTCTGCAGCAGGGCTGTCCAGTCCCGGTCCAGTTTCGTTTCGAACGAATTTCGGAGAGCGCCCCTCTGTTCACCAAAATGTCACACTGATGTTAGGCCTGGGGCCCGAGCCAGGAGGGGAGTACGGCTCAGTGAGAGGGCTTTCCTGGGGATAGGACCGGGCCAGGACGATGGGGATCAGGGTTCGAGCCAGGGTCTGGGTTTAGTTATGATGGGGGAGAAGGTATGGCTGGGATCTCCGTAAAGAGTTGTAGGGGCAGTGTGAGAAGAGATTCGATTTTGGGGGGCAGTAGGGTTAGAACAAGTTCAAGCAGGGAGCCGCGTCGGCGTGCGTAGCTGCAAAGGAGCAGGTAAAGGCTCCTTCCCTGCTGAAAGGGAAAGAAAAGAGACAACGTTTTGGCCCTGCAGCCTCCTTCAGGTGCCAACAAGTGTGAGGGCCGGGGTACGCTCCGGGCAGGCACCCCGATTGGTACGTCACAGGAGGAGGTGACTCTTCTTCCCAGTTCACTGAGGTACTGCTTTGCTACACAAAAAGTAGGGAGCTGCTAATATATCTGTGGGCGAAGGAGGAGTATCGACAACATCTGGTAATATTTCACCGTTTTTCAATTTGCTGGAAAATATTTGAGTGGGCCAAACAAGCAAACTGGGGGGGTGCCAGACCCATCTTGGACCGGGATTGGGGGGTCTATAATTAATAACAGGGAATACTGGGGTTAAGGTCACAATACAATACCCCAGTATTGCCAGATCCATTTCGGGGTGCTTCGTACAGGCCGCCTCTACAGGCGCTGATAAACTACCGGGACCCTAAGTGGTAGCCGCTTTGCTCCGGAATCATCTCGTGTCATTCCACCGCAGCAGCGGCGGCGGCACCAGTGTTGTGTGCAGTGGTGCAGTTGCCAACGGTTACTTCACGCCAAGGAGAGGCACAATGGCAAGGCATGCAGAGGAACACTGGGGGAAGAGAAATCGCAGAAACAATTGTCACCCGACCTGTCCTCTCACCACCACCCTGTCATTGTCCCTGCGTCCGCGCCCCGGTGTGTTAGCGTGCGGTTGCCGTGGGAACTCGAAGGGAGGTCTCCAGTCCATTGGCTGACGCCCCCCCCCTCCCAACCACGTTACATCACTCTCGACAGCGCAGGGGGATGTCGCACGCCGAGCTTATATAAAAACACAGGCCGGGGGATCCAGCTGGCAGAACTGGGGTTTGGTCTGTGTCCGACAGTACACTACAGGATCAGGAGAAGTACCACCATCGAGCTGCAAAGGTAAGAGAACCCCCCTCCTGGATAAGGAGGGTCCTCCCCCCTGCGTAGCTGTTCGCCTTCTTTTCGGGCTCGTCCGAGAGTCGCGCTGGCTGTGCGGCCTGCCCTCGCGCAGTCTCTGCCGCCGGCCGCTTCCCCCCCAAAACGTGCGGGGCGACGCGCGTTCGGGAAAGACCACGGATTTTCCGGCCAGTCGGTAATCAGAGTCAGGAGTTCCAATAAATGAGATGACATTCAGATGTGTGTTTGAGGTATCATGCCCTCAAAATTTGGTTACCAACAGAATCTGCTCTTCACAACACACATTGTCAAAGTGAAACATGCCCCGATCAAAAGAGGTTTCAGAAGACCTCAGAAGATTCTCTGCGGGGCAGCCGGGTGCTCGTCCGGGAGGGTGGCCACAGGATTCAAACCGGCAACCTTCCAGCCACAGGCGCAGATCCTGAGCCACAGAGCCGCCGCGCCGCCTCGCACAGAGTGTGTGTTTTATTGGGTGATCCCATGGTAACCTTTGATCGTACTGGAGCAGCACCCAAGATCACTGGCTGCGATCTTCCCTCTGTCGCCTCCGTTTAGGACAACTGCACGCACTGGAAAGCTAAGAAAACGTGTCCACAAACCCCTGCCATCCCTCGATTTCCTTTTTAAAACTTCTCTTTCTGGGGTGGAGGTTTCAAAGCGCCAGTTGTAGTCCTGCTTGGGTTGGAAACTGAATCTCTCTAGAGCGCACTGGGGCACCATGTAGATCTCGGATGGCGCATTGATTCAGAAGTGGGCACGTTATATGTGGAAGTGTCATATGTGTTTTTTGTGTAACTGGTTTTGTGTCTTCTTGTTATCGCTGTATTTTTTTCTGTCTGGGCTGCACTGGAGTAACTTCCAGTCAACTTTGTGGATGTGGCAATAGAGTATTGCATCGGAGAGAAACCTCCTTTGTGCTCAACCCAGTGATTTGAAGTGACCATGAGTATTTCACTACACTTCGGAGTGTAAAAATTTCAATTTCATTCCGTATCAGTATGAAGCCATAACTGCACGAGGTCTGCTCCTCAATAACTCAGCATACTCTGTAATCAGCGAAGCTTGACTGCAGCCTGCTTGAGTTCCTGCCTCTTTTCGAAGTGCAGCACCTTAAGTTTTTTCACTCTGCATGTGAAATGCAGCTCAGCGGGATTAAAATCTGGCGATGGACTTGGTCGGTCTTAGACTTTAGCCTACCCCCCACCGATGATCTGCTTGGTTTATTAGCCATGTGCTTCAGGTCATTGCTATGCTACATGATGCATTTCCATGAGTGCCGGCTGATAAGTATGGGTATCTTTTCTTTTATGGGAGCCGACAAAACATTGCTGTGCAATGTCTGATTTTGTTCTGTGGTCCCTATTGTGAGCTCCGTCATCACACAGGAGTGAATCAGTTCCAGAGGTGGCCAGGCGTGGCAAGACCTCTGGTAAAGGCTTATTATAGGCTCATCTCTTCATAATAATAATAATAATGATAATTCCTTACACTTATATAGTGCTTTTCTGGACGCTCCACTTAAAGCGCTTTACAGGTAATGGGGAATCCCACTACCACCACCAGTGTGCCTTAACCCGGTGAGCCCCTGTCTAGGCTAGAGCCCTGGCCGATGTCCAATGCTCCCTCTAGGCCATGCGCGTGTGCACGCACACTGGTGAGGAAATCAGCGCACAGAGGAAATTGAACTGTGTGTAAAAAATTAAATTCCCCCTCTATTTTAATAAGAAGATTATAAGGGGAGATTAAGATATTGTTAATGATGGGGTAGCGAAAATAGTTTCAGAAGCCTACAAATCAGAATCGGGTAAAGGTATTATATCTAGATTATATAAAAGATTTATGGAAAAGAAATCATATTCTACAGAGTATGTAAAAGATAAATGGGTGAAAGAAAGTGAAGTTAGAATTTCGAATGAAGAGTGGCTTGAAATTTGTGAATTTCGATGGAGATGTACTAACTTGCACTTATGGAGAGAGTTTTGCTGGAAAAACATTGTTTGATTTTTCATTACTCCGGGTCAGAAGGCGCACCATACTGAGGAAAACCAAGGTGATCATTGGCATTTATTCTGGAACTGCCCTAAAATAAGGCTTTTCTGGAAGGAGTTGCATGAGAAACTATATTTGAAAGGAATGCACCCTTTACATTTGAGGCTTTATATTTTGGTAAACTGGATTTTGATTGGAGGGGAACTGATGAATACTTGTTCGGAATCCTCATATCAGCAGGGAAGAAAGCTAAAACAAGAAAGTGGCTTCTCACAGATCTACCAACAATGAATAATTGGATTTAATTAATTAAGGAAATATATATATATATCACGGAAAAAATAACATTTTCACTAAAATTACAAATGAAAAAAAAAGTCAAATATTGGTCTAGATGGGTTCAGTACATTAAACCTTTAAGGTCGGATTTTGTTGAGATACAAAATAACTGAAATTGAATAAGTTATATAATTGTTAAAATACTACGGGAACAAACAGGAATTTTTGCCTGTGATGTAAGGCTGAATAATGGTGGTTTATATGTAAAATGGTTTTGTTTTGTTCTCTGAAATAAAAAAAATAAATTCCCCCCCAGAATATGATAATAATAAAACAAACACGGTCTTCAATTGAAAAGTGCAAAATTGACCACAGGAGACGGGCTGCGAGAGGCCCAGCTTGGCTGTGTGCAGTATTACTGCTACTCGATCAACGGTATCTTTGCTCTTGTCGTCTCGTACCTCTCTGCTCACTCAGTCTCCATGACCGGGCTCGTGGAGTCGCTGTCCAAGTCTTTTAGCTCTCCCTGCTTCACAACAAACAGCCTTTTCCTTTTTCCAGTTTGCACAGTGTGCATCGTTGAGCCTTGAAATCATAGGAACGTAGACTCGTTGTTTTCAAATTTGTATTACCCACTTAAAAGTGTATTTGATTAAAAGACTAAAAATATTGATTCGCTGTGTCGAGAGAGGTGACGGGCGTTAGGCACAAAAGAACTGCACGTTCATTTCGAGTGGAATGGCTTGCCGAAATGGTAGAAGCTGCCGCTCCGAAAAAGTCACAATTTGATATATGTTCCGTTGCGAGAAATATGAACAAAAAATCATTTCAGGCTTACAATTTTATGTACACTCCATTTAGTGCGCACATGTTTTTGTCACTGGGAAAAAAATTGCACAACTTTAGAAATTAGAGGGAACATTGCCGATGACCCCGGCTGAAGAGCTAGAGATGGCTGGAGGTCCGTCTGGACTCCTCCGTCAGTCTCCCTCCCTCCAGGGCTCCGCTGCTCAGTTCTCCAGCTCCTTCCTGTTCCCTGTTCCCGGCCTCCGGTAAAAGAGAACACCACCTTCATTACCTGTGGCGACGGAGACATCAGGCTGGGCTCCCCTCTTCCATGTCCGTTCCTCTGTCTTTCAGATGCTGGTCAGAGATGTGCTCGTCTTCTGTCTCGTCAGCGGGATTATGAGCTGTAGAGCTGACGACACGACTACAACCGCTCCTGACACCGACACTACCACAGTGATCACCACGACGCCCTACACCAGCATCAGCACCAGCATCCCGACGACCACGGCGGCTCCCAGCATGAGCAGCACCACCGCGGCGCCCACTGGCACCACCACTGCGGCCACTGGCACCACCGCGGCGCCCACTGCCACCACCGGGGCGGCCACTGCCACCACCGGGGCGGCCACTGGAACCACCGCGGCGCCCACTGGCACCACCGCGGCGGCCACTGGCACCACCGCGGCGGTCACTGGCACTAGCACGGCCGCCTCTACGGCCACCAGCACCGCCACCACGACTGGCACCACCGCCAGCTCGTCCACGGCCATGTCGACGTCTACGACGGCGACGCTGAGCACTGCCTCGACCTCCAGTGGCGCCAGCACGGGCAACTCCACCGCCAACGCGACGGCTTCCACCCTCAGCAGCGCGACCACCGCCACCTCCACCACTGCGGCCCCGGTAAGTCCGAGACCATGCCGGCGGAGGGGGGAGGTCGGCGTAGGACGTCTCCAGGCTCGCCCGTTCCTCTGACGAGTGGGAGCTGAGCGGCGCTCGAGCGCCAGCATGCAGCCCGCACCCGGTGTTGCCTGGTTGGAAACCAATCCCACACCCCCAAGGTCTGCACCACTTCATGCCCCGCAGGGGGGTAGTTAATTCTCTTTCCAGACGTCTGGCGCTCAGTTTCCTTCACCCCCCCCCCTCCCCGCACCCCTCCAGCGGTCAGTGCTCTGCGAACCCCATTGGAGCTGCGGTGACCTCCAGGAAGTTCTTCCTGTAGCCCCTGAAGGGGTTCTTAAATTTCTACTGAGGTGTATCTGACCCCTGCATGCAGAACTCCAC